AATGAAGGTCTCCTCAAGACCTACAACTTCCTCTAAGAAACTTGTAGTCTACCATGCATAGTTTCCAAGATTAATGAGTTTTTAATTTGACAGCTGTCATCTGAAATGTAGGTCTCCTCAAGACCTACAACTTCCTCTAAGAAACTTGTAGTCTACCATGCGTAGTTTCCGAGAAAAATGAGTTTTTAATTTGACAGCTGTCATCTGAAATGAAGGTCTCCTCAAGACCTACAACTTCCTCTAAGAAACTTGTAGTCTACCATGCATAGTTTCCGAGAAAAATTAGTTTTTAATTTGACAGCTGTCATCTGAAATGTAGGTCTGCTCAAGACCTACAACTTCCTCTAATAAACATGCATTCTACCATGCATAGTTTCCGTAATAAATGAGTTTCTAATTTGACAGCTGTCCTCTAAAATGTAGGTCTCGTCAAGACCTGGTAAATCTTGGAAATAAATAAGTTTTATTTTGCCACTTGTCAAATATTACGTAATTGTGACATTCCACATTTCAAACAATTTCATAAATTTATAATTATTCGAATTTTACATTCATTGCTATAATTTGAATGTACAACAACATTATTGATGGTAACAAGCGTACAGTTAGTATTTCAAAATAAATTTTCAGAAATTCCGTAATGCGAGTAAAGACGGGTGAAATTTGTTATACAATTTTTCATGGTACAGGTGGGATAATTTTGTCCCAGTTGTACCATCAATGGTACTGTCCAATGGTAAAACTGGTCCTGCGGGCCAAAATCCCCGGTTCTTTCGCGATAATACATCCATACATATCGATCACGCCTTTATCCCTTGCGGAGTAGGCAGAGCATCAACGGCCGAAAAATACGGTCGTTTTCGTCACGTCTGACAAATATTTGAGGGACGTTTTAGCTAAAGTTGTGTATTGCTATGACGACAGGTTGTCAGCCGGTCGCCTAAAATTGCAATACAAATTAACTCTCAATTCCCTTAGTCGCTTCTTACGACATCCACGGAAAAGATATCTGATGTTGCTGGCACCACACTGTCTGTGTACTGGTACACAGTCTTCTAACTGAATTTAATTTTTTTGTAAAACGTGGTGTGAATTACCGTTCTTTACAGCCGTTCACGCTCTACCTGCCCAGCTTGATATAAGTTTGTAAAATTCAGATGGTCTGATTTTTCTTTTCAGTACCATTCGCCTCATCGTGCCTTTACCTTGTTATGTTTCACACTACTTACCTCTATATCACGCACGTACCTTATACACTAGAGGACGTTCCTTGTCGATTCCTCGGAGACCGCATTGCAGCGTTTGAATTATTTATCAGTCCCCTTTGTGTTACTTCCAAAACTAACTATTTCAAACGAGATTTCCTATTTTGTTCAACTATTTGGATATAAATATTTTATTAGTTCGTCCTTCAAGAGTTGTTTATAAGGCGTTTGGAAGCTAGCGCAGTATTTTGTGTTTACTAGGATTCTAGGAACAAGAACTAAACAAATTCAGGTGCCATAACTTAGATTTATAGAACTAAGGTGAATTGAATTAGGCATGTGCCTGGGTCAAAACACATAACAAGCTAATCTCCAGTGGTTTTTGAATACTTTTAATTTAAAAATAAGGCTTGATTTTTTTATTGCCCATTAATTTGCGAACCTAACCTAACGCTGTTCCATATTCTTTTTTTTACTTTTCGATTAAAATGAATGTTTGTAAAATGAAACCGTTCGCAAACAGCTGGAGGCCGCATCGCGTCGGTCAACAAAACCATAAAATAGAGAATTTACAGAAGGATAGCTCGCCCCTTCTTCCGATCATTATTTTATGCCTACACTCTAGGTTTGCTATTTTCTATTTCTGAATTTTTCAATATACCATTTTTTGGTCAAACATATTTAGGTAGGTACATTACTTACATTATATCAAACGTACACAATAACATACTATGCATAAATATTGGCATTTCCGAGTCGTAGTTTTGCTCTCCGCCCGCACCAAATGCTGTTGACACTCACTACTAGCCAGTTCGAACTGGTTCGACATTACGCGTAATCGACGGCGTGTGGATGTCTGTGTGAGTATAGTTACGTTTCCTTGAAGCCAGCCTTGTGGATTGGCGCCAGCAAAAACTTACTTTGTGACAGAACCAACAGAACCCTCCATCTATCTATCGCTCGCTGATGGAAGCACAGATAGAGCTCTTGGAAAAACTAAACTGAATATTTCACTGGGCAGTACGTATTACTATAAGTAAGTTGTATGATTTGAAAATCGAATGAAGGAACCATTTTTCGGTATTAGGTAATTAGGCAAAATCATTTTGCAATAAATATGAAAAAACAATATGATGCTACGACATTTCGTTGGCAAAACTATGCTTTGATTCTCACATATCTACTTAAGGCGAAATATATACCACGCAGCAAAATACGATTTCAGGGGAAGGCCAAGTCCAACTGACTTTAGCACACAACTTAAAATAATAAATTGATGAGTTCACATAGTAGCGGTTTTCAAGCGCACTCCTCAATCCAAATAAATCCTTCAGATCAAAGTAACTCGGCAAAGTAGAGGTAATAAAATGAAACAAATCGCGCTCTGGAACACACTTCGTAAGATTTCTCAATTCCTTACACTTTGGTTGCAACATTTTACCTCGGGCGAAGTGTATATTCACCTCGAGTTTATTATCTCACATTTTTGAGGTTTCTAAGTATTTTATCTTTGAAAAGGCAAGCATCCATTTTTCAGTTTTCTTTTTATTGGCATGCCAGCTTATATTTCTAAAAATTAAAAGAAAATAAATTTAAATCCACAGCTTCAAATATACAAGTCTGTGGCCCCTATTTCTATACAGTGTGTAATAGCTTTTGTAACTTTTCTTAGCGTAGCCCATTGCTACAATTTTAACGTAGCAGTTTGCTACGTGTGTTGCAAAGAACGATCTACACGCGTTTATCAAATTATCAAGTTTGAAATTACATGTTTTAGCAAATTTATACAACTTTTTACATTTCAATACCTATACCTGTCGAATGAGAAACGAGACAGATAGCTCGCCGACCACGTACTCACTCACCTTGGCACTTTCTCCCGGCGCCGTTTAATATTCAGACCTCGAAGCACATAATTCGCGGCGGTGATCAGGAGGGGAGGCCGCCTCGTTATTCCATCTTTCTATCCCCGCAAAACCCCGAAATTATATAAGGTCCTATTAAATTCACTGCAAATATTTCAGGGGCAGATCAAATAAAATATAAGCATGATCATGGCAAATTTTCCAATAAATCTATACGCCAGTTTTCGAGAAAATTGCATTTAACTAAAAAGAATCAAAACGAAAAAAGTGCAGCCTGTTTGTCCTAGAAACATACCGCACCAATCACCACTGCGGTGATTACGCGCCAAAATTAAAATAAAGTGCTGTGATTGGTTGGTCGTTGGTGTGCGTGTCGTGTATGTGAATCCTGTCTACGTGGCGGAAAGTCAAACAAAGGATGTTCACGTAATTATTTAAAAAGTTTGTTTGAAAATGAAAAAATAATCTAACGTGTAGATATTTTCTAAATGCCTTAGATGTTTTACTTTTACATATTTACGCATGCCCTTAAAATATTTGCAGTGAATTTAATAGGACCTTATATGTAAAATTGATATTAAAAAGTACGAGGTATTTTCAATTCCACAAAGGTTTTCAAATAAGATATTTTCAAAAGACGTAAATGACGTCGATATTACAACGTAGGAGGGGCTGCGCTCGTAAAAAGTTATTAGCGATTGTGGGAAGCTTCCGATTTATGAACACGTTTATGGCTATAGCAAATTGGTGCACACAAATAACTAGGAATAGATAAAAGTATTGATTTTTACCCACCTGCTTAAAGATTCATTACAAAAAAGGAACATACCATTAGGTACGCCGTACGATCCTTTATGTAACTTTTTTGTTAATATTCATTTGACAAAGTATCGTATAAATCAAATAAATCAAGTCGTAATAAATTAAGCTTTACATTTTGTAACTGTGATTTTGACACTGACACTGTAGATTTCTACTGAATTATTTCTTGAATTAAACGATATGACATGATCAAGTAGGTACTAGACGTACGTATGTATTTTTTTCTTAATAACTATATATCTACATTCTTATGCGCTGCATAAAATAAAATGGTCACGCAATGAAAGGCGAAATAAAAAATAACAAAGAACAAAGTGAATACTCATATAAAGAATGAAATGAAAACAGTAAAGAGCAGATGGTTTTTACGGCTTTTACCACACTCTTGCATTTAGCATTAAGGTTAATAACTGTTTTAACTTTTGTTCTCAAAAGAGTGTCATTAACAGCAGAATAATAAAAATGTGAGCCTTAATTTTCCTGCTTTTTATAAAACAATAAAGTAGTCATTTCGCCTTTACTACTTAATTTTACTTAGTGTTGCATATATTTAAACAGCTGATGACTACAGGTTTCCCGTACTTGCATTTTTACAAATCCGGTTTAAGTCACATTACAACATTAAGTCACATTCGTGTAAGTCAAACGGTTTGGCAGACGCATCCGCTAGCGCTGCGCATCGCAAAACGTTGCGTCAATGCATGCGTCTGTCAAACCGTATTTTTATGTTAATAGGGTGGAAAATAGAACTTTCCTAACGCATGATATAGCGCTGCGCAACAATAACGCACATACGGACGTTATCTACATATGTTTCGCCATTCTTTGGTTCGCGATGGTTAGGTACATTGACGGCTCGAAGGCTACATGATCTGAATTTATCTTTATGTTTTAAGGTTTGTATGAGTTTGTATAGGAGGAGAGATTGTATAGTGAGTGCATTACAATCCCAATAGATTGATTAAGCAAGCTTCATCATATGGTTTGAATTCCACTCATAATGTGGACTAACCATGTAGTAAGTTCTAAATGCTTTCTACAGATGTCGCTGGATCGTCGCTTGGAGACGAGCATCAAGAGACATAAAATTTGACATTCATCAACCAGTGCATCGATAGCTCAGTGGCAGAGCGGTGGGGCGTTTACCCATGCGGCCCGGGTTCGATTCCCGGTCGATGTTTGACATTTTTTCTATTTCTTATTTTCACTTGTGAGAATAATATAGCACTGTGAGTGCATTACAATCCCAATAGATTGATTAAGCAAGCTTCATCATATGGTTTGAATTCCACTCATAATGTGGACTAACCATATAGTAAGTTCTAAATGCTTTCTACAGATGTCGCTGGATCGTCGCTTGGAGACGAGCATCAAGAGATATAAAATTTGACATTCATCAACCAGTGCATCGATAGCTCAGTGGCAGAGCGGTGGGGCGTTTACCCATGCGGCCCGGGTTCGATTCCCGGTCGATGTTTGACATTTTTTCTGTTTCTTATTTTCACTTGTGAGATTGTATACCTAGGAGACGGCACACTGCGTATGCGTGAATCGCGGTGTGTTGTGGTGAAGGATGTCTTGTTTCATACGGTCCCATACAACACAACGATACCGTGCACGTCTCGCAAACGCAGGCGGTGTGTGGCGCCCATTAATCAAAGGTACAAGTAGTTAAGTAAAGTGTTTTATTCTCTTACCCAGTCAGTTCCTAGTTAGTAGTTAAAATTAAAGTATCTACAATAAAACAAATAATATCTGGGTCATTCTTCAAAGGGTCGAAAATTTTGGTCACAGGGTTGTAAATGCTAAACTATACAAGTTTGGACATATCGATCGATTGGACATGATTTAACACTTCAATACCTATGTGGAATCGATTAAAAAGTCTTATTTTATATTCACTTAGTATTTCAAAAGCGGGATAAATAAGCGAAGCGGGATATATACCACAGGATATGCGCGATGCTAACATCATTACCCTATACAAAGGCAAAGGTGACCGCGGTGACTGTAACTGTTATCGTGGAATATCCCTTTTAAGTATAGTAGGTAAATTATTTGCTAGGTTAGTCTTAATAAGACTCCAGAAACTTGCTGATCGTGTATATCCCGAATCGCAGTGTGGATTCCGCGCCCAACGTTCCACAACAGATATGATCTTTACATTTCGCCAACTGCAGGAAAAGTGTAGAGAGCAGAAAACACCTCTGTTTGTGGCGTTCGTCGACCTTAACAAAGCCTTCGACACCGTGAGCAGGGAAGGACTCTATACTGCACTTTTAAACATCGGGTGCCCTCCAAAACTTCTAAGCCTCATTAAATCCTTCCACGAGGACATGAAAGGATCTGTTGTTTTTAACGGCAATACATCTGAGCCGTTCGAAATGCGTAGAGGTGTTCGCCAAGGCTGCGTGTTGGCTCCTACCCTGTTTGGTATTTTCTTCTCATTGCTTTTTAAAGTTGCTTTCGGCGATGACCAACAGGGTATACACCTGCACACTAGGGCTGACGGGAAGCTGTACAATATCTCGCTTCTTAAGTCAAAGCGTAACCGCGATGACTTATTCGTCGATAGCCTTTTGTTCGCTGACGATGCAGCCTTCGTTGCTAATTCTCAAAGTGAGCTTCAAGATATTGTTGATAAGTTTTCCCACGCGTGTTCTCTGTTCTCAATGTCCATTAATGCCAAAAAAAGTAGTGCTAGCTCAAGGTGGAGAAACACCACGTATTTTGCTCGGTGGCGTTCCCTTGAACATAGTTGACAAGTTTTGCTACTTGGGGTCGACTGTGTCGAACAATCTCACCCTCGATGCTGAGATCAATACTCGTATCGGCAAAGCGGCGACCATGTTCGGCAGGCTCAGTACAAGAGTATGGAATAATAAACACCTGACCACAAAACCAAGATAATTGTTTACCAAACTTGCGTTCTAAGCATACTCTTGTATGGAGCTGAAACCTGGACTTCGTACGCAAAACAAGAACGTCGACTCAACACATTTCATATGCGCTGCGTAAGAAACATCTTGCATATAACTTGGCAGGACAGAGTCACAAACGAGCGAGTTCTAGAAATTGCACAGCTGCCTAGCTTTACCGCTTTGCTTAAGCAAAGACGATTGCGGTGGCTAGGGCATGTGTACCGCATGGAACCTTCGCGTCTACCGCGGCGTGTCCTACTTGGCGCCGTAGCTAACGCCAAAAGAGGAGTTGGAAGACCGATGCTACGTTTCAAAGATTGCGCCAAACGGGACATGGCTGCGTTTGACATCGACCATCAAAGCTGGGAGAAGCTTGCTGAGAATAGGGATGTATGGCGAAAGCGTGTGTTTGATGGGCGTAAAGCTCACGATGATGCCTGGTTCGCTGGTCTCGCAAACAAAATTCAAAAACGACATCTAAACATGCATGTGCCAGTCTCTAATTCCACCTTCGTTTGTAGAGCGTGCGGAAGGTCATGCCGCTCCCGTATCGGCTTATACAGCCATGAAAAATCTTGCCTCAGACACTGAATAAATCGTCTGTCACAGACGTATGAGGCCAATGATGAGTATTTCAAAACCCAGTCTGTAAGTTGAAAACAGGAGGATTTTTGGTGTTCTCCGCATGTCACACCTCGCACTAACTTTTTACAAATTATGATTTTACTACTTTCCTTATGTTTTGTACGTATCTATTGTATATCAAAATAATCGTCATAAAGCAATATATTAGATGAATGATAAAGAAAATATGTAATGCGTGTAATTTTAAAAATAAACCCGAATATGTATCGGTCACACGATTTCGGACAGTTAGCCCAAGCGTGGTAAAAACGATCATAACTTCTAAGATTATAACCGTATCCAGCTGAGTTTTTGTTCCTCAAATTATTATAATATGCTTCAATAATCAAGCAGAGTGAATGGGCACCTCAGTGCCTAGAACTAAAAATATTTCCAAAAATAAGGGCTGACACAAGTTTTACTACCCTTGCATGTAAGTTACGTGGATTCAAATTTCTTCTAGAATTAATACTCTTAGAGATTCGTCTTTTACAGGGCTGATTTGTAATATAGTCGGGACTATTGGTCTATAATTTTATTTAGATTCAATAAAAGATGGCCAAGTTATTATCAAAAATACTCTGTTTTTGTAATCTGCGTGGAGTAATTTGCGTGGCAAAATACCCACGCAGCTTACAATTCTTCCCACGCAGATTACACAATGGTTCTAAGAGTTAATAAAAGGTTGAAATAACCATTTTAAATACTATTATTTTACCTAATATTCATTAAAAAACACATGAAAAGAATTCTTTTGGCTAATATCATTAAGTTTTTGAGTTTTCATATCGTTATACTTGGACATAGAATTTTTACCAATTTTGATGGATTTGAGTGCATGTTTTGTCAAAAAATACTGGACGTTGGCTCTATTCAACCACCTGACTATGTCTCGCAGCAATTTTTCGATACCAGTGATCGTTGTCTCATAGGCTTGATGTGTATTTTGAGGCCAAAAGTCAAAACTGTAAGGTAGCTCCGATAATATGCAAGCGACTGTATTGAGACATAGTTCTCCTGATTTATCTCTTGTGCTGACAATCTTGCTAAATTTATCTCCGCTTGCACTACCTATTTCTAAAAGAAGTACAATGCCAAAGCCCCCTTAACTTGCTTATGTAGGTATCATTGGTTCATAAACAGGGCGATAGCGTTAACTCCATTTACTGTTACGTAATGGTGAGGAAGAAGGTCTCCATCAGACGCGTGTCATATAAGTCTAATGTGCAGCAAACACCTGCAGCTGACCTGTCTTTCTAGCGGATCCAGCCAGGGAGGCTGAGAGGGTCGAATAGGGCTTTAGGCAACCCTGCGTATTCCATAACCGTGTCCTGGGCAACACACTGTCTGTGGAGAGTCAAATCTTCCTGATATTATTTAAATCTATTGCAATTGACGGAGTTAGGCCATGGTGAGTTAACTTGTTAGTTGCCCCTACCAACTGCGGCCATCAATATGACTTTCACCTAAGACTACTGGGAATCTTTTTGCGTAAGCTTGGGCAAACGTGGCGAACTTGTCACTTCGCTTGACATTTCGAAGGCAATCTCTCTGGCAGAAACCTTGACCTGGCACCTCAGCAAGATTCCTGTTTATGACAATCCAGCTGGTTTTTGTAATCAATAACAGCTATCTCTCTGACTTCACGGTCATTGATGCCTGTGGTCCTCAAGGTTCTAGTCTCTCGGCGATTTTTGCCTTCAGAACAGCTTTTAACTACTTCAGTTTGGTATTCATAGGTATGCAGAAGACAATACCGTCACAGAGACATTGTCAAGTCCAAATCGGCAGAGCGGAAATTGCGTTCTATAGAGAAAGCCCTGGTCTTATTCAATGCTACCACGACACAGGAGCTTTATTGCATCTGAAAGTAGTCCTCTCGACTAGACAACTACTTTTCTGAAGTACACTTATTTAAGTCATTGCGAATAGCTTGACTGGGCATTGAGTTGTCATCAATCCTGAACTTCGATTTCACTTCGGAGTCTAATGGTACCCTTATTTTCCAAGCGTCGCGACAACGACGCGCGTCAAAGACGCCGTCAAATTTTGACGGCGTCGTTGTCGCTGCGGTCTTGTAGAAAAACTTGACCGCATCCCATACAAACCCTGAGCTTCTCAGCGCGCTGTCAACGTGACGGCGTCGTGGCGCACCGCAACGATGCCGTCGCTCGGTCTTTCTGGTTCCCCATACAAACCAGTCATTTGGCTTGGTTTTTAAGCCTACCATAAAAATCACTACTTTCTTATAAAACTAAGCTTACAAGCTCACCCTTGTAACTAAATTTAAGTATCACCAATTGTTATTTATTATGTTTGCATTAAAGAATTCATATAAAACTCAAGCCTGATCCTGTGTGTAGGAATCCGGCCACCCTTTGGATGACTTAGTCAATAAGTTGCTCTTGATTTGATGGAACTCAATACGACACATATCTGGTCAATACCAATCTACACAGCCTTGCTTTTTGTGGCAAGATGGCCTGCTTAGCAGTCTTCATCATATTTTTATTCAAAATTATGCTGAACCAAGACCTCCACGACCTTATTCCGCCAGCTACTTTCCACCATAGAACACCTGTAAGTATAGTTGGCGGGATACCATCCATATTTAGTTGCCAATCCACCAATTCGG